CCTCTTCTACTTGATTATAATTGAGGGAGTATTTATAGGGGTAATTTAGAGAAAATTGATAAATATAAAAAATGGATCTTATATTTAGGAACAAAACTAACTCAAGAAGGAGGAGTATTATAAAGACAGGAGGTAGTATATTTATGCTCTATTGTTATCGCGTGGTTTAAAAATCCATTGGCTAACTTAGCCTGACTGTGTATGAATTGGTAAGATTGAAATTGAGCGAATCAAACACAAGTAACTTGGACCCCAAACACCCTTATGCACGGAAAAAATAAAAATCTAAATTCGCAGGTCAGACTTACTCTATATAACAAGCAACATGCATATCACTTTCTATGGCCAAAAAAAAAAGAGAAAAGTGATTCTTCAAACACGGAAAAATTAAAAATAAATTTTCTCTCATCACGACGAAGACAGAGAGAGTCAACTGACTAGAAATCAAATATATTCTTGAAAGATTATTTTCTCTTGTTCGTTATTATTTAAAATAAAATTGAGATCTCTTCCATAACTATTGAAAAATTACGGAACCCATTCACTTATGTCCCACGCCCAGAGAGAAACAAGAAGGAATGGGAAAAATGATGAAATATGCAATCAAAATTCATAAGTGGTATATAGACACACCCACACATTAATGTTCAACATCATATATCCACACAAGACCGTGACCGACATTGTAGACGAGGAAGAGCTGTTTCATTTTCTGAATTCAATTGAACGTCCGAGTCAGACACCGGTAATTAGTTAATTGTACGAATCTAAATGCATCAAGAGCAAGAGCCTCGTTTTCCTTATATACATGGAAATTTCCAATTAAATAAACACGCCTTCGACTCGAATTTTTCTTCCTTTATCCTTCTTTGACAGTCGCCCCTAATCTAAATTCGTATAATATATTGATTTACGAAATGTGCTTCTTTAACGGAAATACGACGGCCTCTATGCTGATTTTACAATTTTGCTGGAGTAATGACTACGCACTGATAGATGGATTTCTTCCAACGCGTTTAGGATTAGGGTTTTGCCGGTATATATTTTGTGAAGACATGACTGAGCTACTGTGTTAGAACTTAGAAAATTGAATGGGTTTGGAGTGTAGGAAGGGCACATATCTACAACCGGCAAAGCAAAACGGGGTCATGTGCATGCAATTCAAATGGTAAAAAAGGAATGCAAACAAAACACGGAATGGAAAATAGTACTCCTCCGGTTCTTAATATAAGATCTATTTAATTAATTTGATTAGATTACGAAAGTTAGGTAATTAGTTAATTATAAAAAATATGACATATTTTTCTTAAAATACCATAATTATCTTTCTTAATATCTCCTCTCCCTCATTTACTTGATTATGGTTAAGAGAATATTCATAGGGGTAATCTAGAAAAAATTAATAAATATGAGAAATAGATCTTATATTTAAGACCAAGATTAACTTAGCAACTAGATCCTATATTGGAGACTAGAAGAGTACACGATATATAATATGCACGACCAAACCCACTGTTTAGGAAGCAGTAATTATAGTAAAAACAAGTAAGCAGCCACCAAAATGAAACACTGGTCTAACATGACAAGTTGAAATATTTAATCTTCAACTGAGAAATGAGAGAGGAAAAAGATTCGATTTTAGTCCCCAGCGAGCTATATCCAGCTTCTACTTCTCTACATCGAACGTCAGGTCCAACCTATATCCAGTTATTGTTTTTCTGCTCTATTTTTTCCCTTCAGCATACTTTTGTATAATTTATAAAAGAATCATATTATTCTTTATGCTTTCTAGTTTCTGTAATACATTAAAAAAAATGTCGGAATATCAAATTAGCAAAACACACGTCTTTTGTTTTTTTTAAATTAAGTGTACCATATTGTTGAATGATTATATGGCTTAAATAGAATGTTATTTTATTTAATTTGTGTACCCATTCTAACCTCTCAGTTAAATAATAATTTTGGTAAAGAACTTATATCTACTATAAACCTAGAATCAGCCAGTGAAATGTGCGATTTATATACCTTCGTTTTCTAAGGCAACTCCTGCTCTCAGATGCGTAACACAAAAGGAACAAACGCATTAGTGAGTGAAGCAGAAAACGAGAAGCTCGACTGAACTCAACTAAATTGCTGATCGAGGGTATAATCAGAAGGGTATGTGTATATAATAATTAATTGGATAGTAAGAAAATTACGAGTTCGGAAAGAGGTTGTTTTATTTTGGAATAACGTTAACTATGTGTAATCCCCGATCGACAGATCAGAGAAGCAACCACTCTTTAGAAAAGTGATAATTCACGTCTTAAATCATTTCTTCCTTATAATCTGATTATTTTTTCCCCCTATGTTCTTGTTTTAACACCTCTTTTTCACCAGAAATCTTCTGCCAGCAGACATGCAGGGCACCAGCTAGCCCCCCGGCCGATGAGGGAATGAATAAATCACCTTCATGTAACATGCCACCAGAATGGCGCTTAATTAAAGAGTAATTATGTGACAATGCTTTTATTATTGTTTTATTGGATTACATATTATTTCTTCTACATTTATTACAAGGGAATATTAAAAAAAGAAGAAGAAAAGGAAAACAAGAAGGGATTGCATGGGAACCCAAGATGGCGACAGAATGCAAAAGTTAATTAAGCTGGCTTAGCTTCTGATACATATTGAGCTGAGGCTGTATGGATGGAATTCTTCATTCATTGATGAACTGGATCGGGACTTGGGTGCTGGGGGGTGCCTCGAGGAAGAGACTGCAAAAGCGCCTCTTGTAGTGGCCTCGCAGCTCCAAATCCAGCAGAACCGACCAGTACAAGGAAGACGATGACCAGTACAAGAACGAGCATGCTCCTGTAACACAAAGCCATTGCGGATTAATCTCTTGTTTTATAGGATAACGTTGAAGGGCAGGTTTGGTGATAGGAGACGAGGCATGCATGTACATATATAGGCCACATTTTTTTTTTGGGGGGGGGGGGGGAGCTTCACAGAAAATGACTAAGACCACCTAGGAATGTACCAACATGCCCTTTCCTGAGTTTTAAATTCGACTTCAGCGTTGACCCGTGATGCTTTGAAGGTTAGAATATAAACCGAGACCAGATTTTATATATGGGTGTGTTGAATAAAATAACTAGTCAAATGCATTACTACAACTAAACCTTAATATGCGCGCTGACAGAGCTGGAAAACGACTTGTACTTTAACGTCGAATGAAGTCATCAATTACATCCATTTCTATGTTTGACGACAATTAATCACATATATCTCATCTTGATACATAAATTAAGCCAATAACCAAACATAAGAACTAAAATAGGAGAATGAGATGTGCCCCCCCCCCCTCTCTCTCTCTCTGCTAAGTAAATTAATTGGGATATATGGCCTTTGTCTATTTGATTAATTAATTACGTACGTGTTTCCACTTTAGTTAATTTAGCCGTTTCTTTGGGTTTCAACTTCCGATCACGATTTTGATTCTTTAATTTATTTTTTCAGAAAAGTAAAGTAGATTAATTGGGAATATAATTCAGAGTAAAACTTCTCTACATAGACGTTCAGACTCGTGGAAGGCTATCTGTTTCTATGAACAACAGACGAAAAATCAGAAATGTGAGAGGGGCATTTGAATATTTGAATAATGTTGAATAGAGGGTATGCTGAGTCCGTAGATTAAATTAGAGGGCAGTTGATTCCATCAAAGCATCAGGAAGCAGCAACGAAATAAACTCATCAAATGTGCCAGTGAAGGAGTCATGTTCTTGCAAGGCTAGTTAGACATATACAAGTCACTCAGCTTCCAAAACATAAACCTTATTACTGTGTGTTTATTCAATGCATGGAGTCAAAAATAAACGCACAACCAAATTACACGATCCAATATTCTTTCAACTTTTTCTATTGGCCGAAGCATGTGCTTCTATTTCGTATTGCTTAAACTGCACTCCCCAATTTGTGGACGCTGGTGTCTGACTGGAAGATGGGAAAAGTAATCGATTTGTCACTAAAGCCACGTATCAGCGTAGAGCCGTGAATTTCATGGGGAGCCTGACATCGTTCTACCGACTCAAAAATTATAAATCTCATCTGCTTCTAATTCGGTTCCTCTATTTTTTTTTTTATTAAGTCTTCATAGTTTCACATTTTTACTTACGTCTCTATATTTTTTCAATCAAGCCCTTATATTAATTACTTCATATTAACAAAATCTAACCCATTTTAATTTTTAAATTGGAATTATTTTTCAATTCTTTTCCACTGTTAATTTATTTACACTAGTCTATAATTAATTGTATGATCTCATTATTGCTTATTTTCAGTACAAATTTATTCTACTTAAAATAACTTTATCTTTATAAATTTTTATTTTAGAAGTGAATTTATTTTACTTAACAATTCTCAATTTTGTTTTAATATTTTAATCAAATATAAGAAAAAATAATCTCATTTGAAACTATAAGGACCTAATAAAAAAATACAGGAACCCAATTTAAAATAAGATTAAGATGAAAATATAAAATTTAGGGGAAAAAACAACGGAAACCTAATAAAAAATCAGGTGATAACCTACAGGTTAATTTTCTCCATTAAAAATTGTTTCAACTTCAGGACGCAGCCAATAATTGGGGCAGTTCAGCCGTCGCTTTTGTAGGCAGCCATTTAATCCCTCCCTTCCAACACATTCAAAAAGGACGTAACGCTACAGAGATTTCTCATGTTCCCCTTATATGCATTTCCTTCAAGCCAGGAAGGCGGCAAGAAAGCTTACTTCCCTTCCTATACGATACAACAAGCCACGTATTTTAATCTTTGCACTTAGAGGAATACGAGTTCAATGGACAGGGAAGCATTATGTCTCGTCTCCTTCCTGCAATTGCCACATGACGTGTTGTTCATTGGTGGGGGAATCTTTTACTTGTAAACCGGGGACTAGAACAGGCAACGTGATCCCCGATTGCATTTGCACTTAATATGCTCACAGCACACAGTCATAACAAGCTTCAAATTCTGCCTGCCAATCTTAATTCGTACTATGCATTCATTCTTCTATATATCAAATCTACATAATTGAGACCACAGATGGACTACTCATAGTTCTCACATAGTGGAGTGCAGAGAGTTCCCCGCCCCACGTTAACTTTAGGTAACAGTTAACAATGTTGGCTAAAAATATGCTAATATTATATCAGACTACAAGACAAAGCATACAATATTTTAGCGTGGTTTGCATTAAGTAGCTCGGTGAAAATATGACATCGCTCAGTCTTTGAACAGGGAGGCTTCGAGCTTCTCCTTCAACTGTACAGCAGCATTCTCCCCGCCATGAGTTTTTATGGAGAATGTGTGAATGACCTTATCATCAGCAGTTGAAACATTGGATTCTTGAGGTATAATTTGATGCTCTCTAAAAGTCTTAACAATCCCAGAAACAGGATGGGTATCCAATGGACAGCTCACGCTCAAAACAGCATCGTCCTGTCTGGCCTGAAAATCAATATCTGGCAATGGCAGCTGCTTATCCTTGTTGTTCAACAAACCCTTCTCTGCTTCCAACACCTTGATCTTCATCTGCAGATCAGTGATGTAGGTAATGGCATCACCGAGCAGAGATGCCTTGTCCATTTTGGATATGTTAGGAACAACAGATCTTAAGGCATAAAACCTCTGGTTAAGTTTCTCCCGTCTCTGTCTCTCTGCTTCAACATGATTTAGGGGTTCCTCTCTACCATTGGCAGGCTTCCGCCCTCTTTTTCTGGGCTTCCGTTCATCTGGATGATGTGACAAGTCTTCATTACCAAGGTCCAGACAGGAAACCCTTGCTTGAGCATTGAAATTCCCACCAATCATTTGATTCAGTTGTGGGAACAATTTTGCTTCACTACTATCGGCGATGTTTCCATTGGAAGAATTCCCAAAAACATGTTTAGTCCCCAGTGCTTGTACCTCACAAGAGTCTGAAGTGAAACCAGAATCATCTTCCACCTTGGGGGAGAAACTGATAGTTATGGACTGAGATTTTGCATCCCCAAGGCTTAGCTCACGCCCAAAAATCTTGGGATACACCTTTGCCTGTCCAGAATTAGGTTCTCCGAAGGCTGTTCTGACCATCTCCAAAATATTAAAATCTTCAGGCATCACTTCCTTTGAACCAAGTTCAACAACCCCAGACTTCAGAGGTATAAAAGCAACTGTTTGAAAACCAGCCAAGTTTGCCAAAAACGATCTCGATTCGTATTGGTTTAAACAATGAGAAAAGTCCCAAGCCCAAATTGGTTTACCAGACTTGAAGGAACTTCCAGGGCCATATCGCGAATCAAAACCAAATGTATAATACATTGAAGTTGAGTAAAACATATCCATATCTGAGATCCTATCCAATCTTGCAGAATCAGACTCTTTTGGCCCACCAAAGCAGGTGCGAAGCTTCTGCAACACTCGGCCTTTCACCTCCTCCTTCTCTTTGCCAGCTCCATTCAGATCACCCCCTTTAGGATCCCGACAAAATCCATCACCCCAGACCAACGCAGAGCCACCAGATTTCAAGCCCACCACCTGCCAAAAGATGGCATAGGTACATTTGGACACTTCAACAATCTGGGACAACCTGGAATGGAGACCCAACTCACCTCCAGATGGAACAATTAGGTCGGAGAAAACATTATTGGAAACGGCCGAAACAAAGAACGCAGTGGCTGCTGCACCCAACACAGATTCGAACATAGCCTTTTCTTCTTCGTTCAGGCATAATTTATCAGCCATCTTTATTTCTTATCCTCAAACCCCAATTAATGTCTCATAAATCTTAGACTCAAGACTAAAGAATATATTCACTAAACATGTCAGGAAAGTCGAAAGTTCAATAAACTACAACAATAAGAGGCATGAAACTGATGCATAAACCTAGATGCAGATCGCAAGCCTCTTCATTAAACCTGCAAACAAGAAATGGAGGGAGAAAAATGATAACTTATTGGTGAGCTTGGGTTTAGAGTTTAGAGTAGTCCGACAAATTGAGAAAGAATAAAAGGAGGACAAAATTACATGCAAAGAGATATGTCCATATGTGTATGTGTGCCAATGATAAAACCAAAAAAAAAACCAAATACAATTATAAGGGAAAATGATGAAAACCATAATTGTGATTCTTTTCTTTATCAAATCCCTTATATATATTTTAGTGGTATTCCAAAGAATTAGAAAGAGCTTTGAAGTATGTAATTAAGTACATTTAATTCCTCAATGATACCTCCATCAACATCAACCTTTTACCCCAAGTGTCCTACAACCCAAAATCCATCCCTTTCATCAGTTTAATAAAATTATGTCATCAGTTCAAGATCGAAAGTTAGCTTCATATACCTTACTGTATCTCTAATTCAGTCACAGATTCTTCAGATTAAAGAAGCAGAAAAACCACCAACGGAGACATATCTCTTTCCTAAACGACGAATCAATTATCAAGTCACATGTGAAGTTGAATGATTGGGCGAGGGTGTTCTATTACTCATCGAAATGAAAGTCATTAACTTTAGTAAAGTCTTTGTCATTGGCCGACTTGAACCAATTTTAAAGTTCTCCACCACATAGGGCAATACAAGGAGAAAGGGGAAGAAGACGATAGAAACAGAGGATGAGAAGGAGAGAAAGCGGGAACACCAGGATGCTAAATGAGGGTTTGACAGACTAAAAAATCCATTTGAGACAGAAATCGTAAGCGGTGGGCAGAAATCGTAAGCGGTGGGCAGAAATCATAAGGATGCTTTACCTCACAAGGATGCGGATCTGAGCGGAGATGAGCACGGATCTGGCCGGCGGCGCCACGAGAGGTTGAGACACAAAGCCAGACACAGCGCGGCACGGAGGAGCCGAGGGCACGAACAGGTTAGGCGAGCACGAAGGCAGCGATGTGGGGAAAAGCGTGGGAGAGCGGCGATGTGAGGAGGAGCAGGGGGCGAGCGACTACCGAGGATGCTCGGTTTTGGGGATCATGGGGTTTTTCTTAATCTTAAAAATAATAACTAAGAAAAAAATGCGAGGAGAAATAATTTTTTTCCTCAATAAAAAAAAATGTAAGAGGAAAGAAAAGTACTGAGAAAATAAGATAGATCTCATGTATTTTTTTTTTTCAAATTTCTTTCTATGTGGAGAAATTTGGAAAGAAAAACAATATTTTTGTGATTGCATCTCCTCTCTTTTTCCTCTCATATTTATTTTCTTTTATTGTATTTAAATTTTTTTTTATTTTTTATTTTTTATTTGAAAAAAATATTTTTATTAAATAATTTAGTTTTAAAATATAATAATCTAAAAATGTATGTAAACCGAATAACTTGATTTTAAATTATTTGATTATCTTAATGTTAGTATAATTTTTCTATTACAATATTTAATTTGATTTAACTTTAAATATGATATATTTTGATAAAAATATTTTAGTCATTTTTATTTTCTTATTTTCTCTCAACTATTCAAGTAAAAGGAATGATAATGGGCTTATTTGGTTTCTTATTTTGAGAACAATTTTTATTTTTTAAAACAGAAAAACAAGAAAACTTGTTTAGCAATATGTTTTTGTTGATTGTTTTAAAAAACAAAAAAACAAAAATATGCTTTTAAAGATTGAAAACCAAAACAACTTTTATATGTTTTGTTGTTTTGTTTTTGTGTTTTTTTTAAATTAAAAAAATCTTCTTCTCTTCTTTTCTACTACCTACTACTTGTTACTACGGGTGATAACTAACACTTTTCAAAGTATTATTTTTTATTTTTTTTTCAAAAATTATTTTCCAAACAAAGTTTTTTGTTTTTTGTTTCCAAAACTTGTTCTTAAAAACAATTTTATAAAATTATTTTGAGAACAAAAAAAACAAAGAACAACGACAAAAAGACCCAATATTTTTTTTCAGTTTTTCTTTCTCTCTTCGTATTTTCTTTCCTCCCAAACTTTTTCCCCGTTCCAGGCATAGCATAAAAGTCAAGTCTGAAGCACACTCTCCTAAATCTTGATATATATAACTGGAAAAAAGATACATATACAATTTGTAGATTTAAGAAAATACAAATATCATTCACCGAAACTAAGTGTGTGTTTGGGATAGCGATGACAGAAGTAATTTTTTTTCAATCTGACTTTTATCAAAGTCAGATTGAGTAAAAGTCAGATAGTGTAATGTGATTTATGTTTGGATTGGACTTTGTAAAAAAGTCAGTTTAAGAAATTGAAACCTGTTTGGATGATATATGTAAAAGTAAGTTTGGATGCAAAATGACTTAAAAGGACATGGATTTTATTAAATAGTACATATCTAATATTAGATATATATGTGACTATTTTAAAAGAGGTAAGGAAAATAAAATTATGTTTGGATTAATATTTTTAAAAAGTCAGTTTGAAAAGTTAAAACTTATTTAGATAAATAATAAAAAGATAAATTTAGATATAAAATAATTGAAAAGGACATAAGTTTTTATACAAGACTTAATTAACTAATTTAAAAAGATTAAGAATATATAAGTATTTTAGAGAAATTATAAATTTTATATAAAGAGTCAAGGTAATATATCATACACATACAATTTGATAATTTTTTTAAAAAAATAATAAATTAAATTAATTAAATTATTGGGGTTTTTTCCAGAGAAATTCTATCTTTTTATGTTTTATAGTATGAAGATGGACCCCGTTTTGTCTTTTTCCCTCTTGTACATCTTCTCTCTCCACGGCAAGATCGAACTTTTTCTTTAGAAGCAATGTAAAATAGCTTCTCCAGTACCGCTCATTGGGACCAAAAAGCTCATTTCCACATAAGTGATCCCAAACACATATTAAAACATAAAAGGAGCTTTTGGCCGTTGAGATGCACGTTTGGGATCCCAAACGTGATCCCAAACAGGCCCTAAATTTATCACCCGTGGAGTAAATTGAGTTTTACAGTTCCGGTATAAAAAAAAAAAAATTGAGTTTTACTGTTTTAGTTCTCAAAATTGTTTTGTATCAGTCGTTTTAATACGCTCTCCCATTTTTATTACAAGACATCAAAGATTGATAATTTTTATTGAATAAGGAATTAATTAAATTTTATGAATTTATGGGAGACAATATGATATAAATATGTAAATTTTTAAATTTAAATATAAATAAAATTGAAATTTTATCTAATATTCATACAATGTTAACAATCCAATCACTTCTTTTTAATTTTAATGAGACCGTTAAAGCTGTTTTGTAATAAGAATGGAAAAAACTATCACTTTGTTTCATTTAAAAAAAAAAACTCAAACTCGTTGTTTCTTTATTTGTTTTTTTATTCCATAATATTGAAATATTTGTTTGTTATTGGCGGAAAACAAATCAACGATAAATATTTGTTTTTTTCCTTTGGACAGAAATGTGTGTTCTCGCATCGTATGCCGGGAAAGGAATGCGAGGAGGATGGATGATATGTGAATTACCCCCCCCCCCCAAAAAAATGGCGTCGAGGTGGGCCAATTTGCATAAAATGTTTTTGTTTTTTTGCCAACAGCATAAAATGCATTTCTAATCTTTTAATTTTATACAAAAAAATTATTTCAATTTTTAATTTGATAAAGTATCTCTTTCTTCTATTTTTATGTCATCGACAAAATGTCTTGATATTAGAATTTTAAGTATTAAAGGCATTTTTAAATGCTGATGTGTTAATTTTAATTTTAAAAATATTAATATTACGTGAAAGATTATTATCTGTCCTGACGGTTAGAAAGACTGAGAAGATGCTTAGTAAAAGTAAAATAGTGTATAAAGTTAGGAGCTGAAGGAGTCTTTTTTGCCCCTGAGTTGAGGTTGAGTTCTCAATTTGTGAGCAATAACAATAAACAGTGATAAATAATCAAAAACGGATGGGCTGAAGGCGTACCCGTCGGCCCATTGGATGCGGGAGGCCATAAAAGGAAGACCATACGCGGGCCCTCATATAGGGACGCCCCGCAGGCCTCGAGGAAAAGGAAATTCAAGGCTTTTTCTTTTTTTTTTTCGTTTTTCGTTTTTGAGGAGCAAACTTGAAGTTGAAGTTGAAGGGACTTGACTTTATTCATTTACTAGCAGAGGTGAGGATAACGGGACTATGGGAGTACATGTATGATGTATCAGCCAAGGCGAGGGACTCGGGTGACGATACGGTGAGGGTCGACCCAAACCCGAACCCGGTTACAACGGTAGTCGTGAGTGACGATGGTGCCCTCCAACACCACAATGGCGTCCACCGTGCCAGCTGTCTCTTTCTCTATCCTCGCTTCAGCTTCATCCCCACTTGCTCCCACCAGCTCCGGCCACTCACTCTTCCCTGACCCTGTCGTTCACCCCACCCAACCGTCATTATTATCTCCTCTCACACACGCACACACAATGATGCATCACTACATATTAATATTCCATAATTACCTGCGCATAGAGCCATCTCTGGGATCCTCTGCTGCCTGATATATTATTGATGTGATATTGTATCCTACACACATATATATATATATGGCTAGTGCCATCTGTTATGTATTTATGCTGAAGAATCTGCTGCCATTTATTTATACTGAAGAATCTGTGCAAATTAGGAATGGATATATGTCACCGATCTGTGCCGCTTTCCTTGACTTTGCATGCCCGGCGGGCGGGCGGCCGCCAGCCTCATTTTAGGCTTGTTCTCTTCTTCATCCACAATGTGAAAGCATGAGAAGTCATTTATGGAGAGGGTGGGCACCGCAAGGAATAGTAATGATGAATGAAGTGGACATTTATATACATATGCAAACATACAAATATGCATCGTGCTGAATACAGCAGCACTAGCACTGTGTGATGCAATAATATTTTGTGTTGGGGACGGTGCGGCGAGCATCAGGAGGTGTGCTCTGCTTCACACGTCGCCGTCGCCGGAAGGGACAGGATACATGTGATGATCAGGGGGAATCAATCGATGAGGTTTTGATTTGACGGAAGCCATCCCTGATTGATTGATTCATTCATTCATGGTTCATTGGGAGCGAGTGGGTGTAAAAAGCAAACAATATTGTTTGTTGTGTTTGCCAACACACTCAACAATGGCTAGTGATCTCTAGAAAACACCACGCACCACACCATCCGCACATACATATGCTTGCCCTGCCCTACTCCTCCATTACTTTTCTTCAATTCCCCCACGTGCCTCCTTTCTTACTACCATTTCCTTTTCTTCTTATTCCCCCTGCCACCCCTTCCCCCCCCCCCCTTCTTATTCTCATCCATACCTCCATCAACCAAATCTTATGCTCAGTTGTGTGAATTGCTTATCATTATTTAACGTGAGCGTATCAGTCACGTCACACAGCATTCAAAGACCAAAACACAAATAAGTGAGATACTGTATAGAATACTGTTATGTTAAAGAGTTTATTTGACTTTTATTTCGGTGTAAATATAACACTCTAATTCATTTTGTTTATGATACTTATCTATTTTGCAAAGAATGGCCATCCAACTTCATATGCCACGTGCTTTTTTTTTTGAACTTTGACCCACTGAAAATAAATAAATATTTATGTGTGTAGATCATTTAATTTAATTAAATCAAACTGTTGAACGCACATCCCTCTAAGCCGACACGTGCTTTTTCCTTCCTCGCTAACTGCACCCAAATATTTTATATAAAGTACAGAATATCCCATTACTAGCAGACCAAAGCATTTTTCCAGAACGAGCCCGGTCAAGGTAGTTATTTTACACAAATTAGAGAATTGACACTGAAATTCTTTTCACTAAAATTAGCGCCTCGCACTGAAGATGATTTAATTACTTTATTTCCGATTCTGTTGTTTTCCTTTTTGTCCAGCAAGGCGAGTTGTGCTGGAAATGCGTGCGAGAAGCGGGGCCTGGGAAGCAGGTTTTGTCGGGGGGATACCTAACCCTGCGTGAAGGCCCACCACAAATCCAAATCCATGGTGTAAATATATGCCGTTTTATTTCTTATTATAAGTTATTTATATTTTAAAATTTATTTTAAAATATAAATCACTTATAGTATAATTAATTATTTTTTTTAATTTTATTTTTATTAATTTAATAAAAAATTTATTAATTTAAGTCTGAAACAATAACTTTTCAAAACATGTTCCTCTCTCTCTCCCTCTTCATATCTTTATTTAATAAGAGTAAATAAGAAAAAACTAATCAATTTAATGTATTTCTTAATTTACAGGTTTGGAATACAGGTGATTTATGATAAGAATCAGAATGGTATGTGTGTGAGCGTGTATATACATATACATACGTAGATATATAGACTTTTTGTCGACAGATGTAGATCCGTGTGTCTTACATAGGAGGACTGGCGTGCAGTGAACCATGCATCATCATCACACCCACCTCCATGTTAGCTACAGGCTTACAGCTATGCCCTCTTCCCCCGCGTTACTCATCCTCGAACCAACAGAATTTGTCGTCTCTGCCTGTTGTTCTGCCTCTCCCCCGTGTCATATGCTTGCCTTCCCCCCCCCCCCCCAATATCCTCCCGTATATCATATTTTCACAGCAATCGTTCTCTCACATTTCATGGACTAGGATGCTAGAACCGCAGATTCATGCCTGGATCTCATGAACTATCTGGACCTCTTCCCGGACATATTAAATTTACATCGTCATGAAAATTAAAAATATAAAATCCATTATTCCACAACGGAGTCAATTTTTGAATAATTTACTAATAGCCGTGTCCACAAATGTTAACTACTTTTTCAACGCAGTGCTACGCATAATTTATGATGTGCGCGTGGTCGTGCGTCAAATTTAGTTTGATTCGGAATCCCCAGGTGTTCTTCCTTTCTAAAACGAATTGGCCCCGTTGAGTTAATAACATAATAAATACTCCCTCCCGTCCCATATATAAACTTTTAATAACTGAATTATGTTTAACAGACTAATATGTACGATTAGTTGAAAGTAATAAATGTGTTAGAAATATTTTTTTAATTTATTATTATTTGTTAAGAGAATAAATGAGAGAGACAACAAATAAAAAAAATGATAAAAAAGAATATATGAAGATAAAATTAATTAGAGAGCGAGAGTATTAAATATAGTTAGCTAAAGGCAAAATAGGAGAAAAAAGTAATGAACACTTAGACAAAATTAAAAATAAAATTTGTATTTCGAATCAGATTTTTTTTCTAAAAGTAAACTTTATACTCCTCTGGTCCTAATTATAAGACCAAATTGACTTATTTGAGGAGATTAAAGAAGTAAGTTAAATTAGTTATTTATAATAAATAAGTGTTGTCATTCCTAAAATATCCTTGCTAATTAAGTATATTGGCTAAAACTATCATTATTAGAAGGATTATCTTGGAAAAAAATGCATAAATATAAGAGACAAAATGGATTGGGGTCTTATAATTAGGACCAAATAAAAAATCAAACGGGGTCTTATAATAAGGACCGGAAGAGTATATAGGACTAGAGTAAGTACTCATTTAAAAGGTCAACTGAAGTGGATGTGATTATTGGATAAGGATTATTAATCAGATGAAAGCCCTGTTTGATTCGATTCTGGTCCCATTTCAGCACCCTTCAATAGAGCCGGTAATACGGGCTGGGCCCGCGCCAGCCCGCCAAAAAAGGCGGGCTTGGGTTGATGTTTTCCCAGCCCGCCATGGTGCGGGCTACTCTAGCCCGCACCGCTTTTGGCCCGCTCCGCCGCGGGCTAGCCCGCTGGTTGGCGGGCCAGCCCGCCAGCCCGCTTTTTTTTTTTTTTTTTTTACTTTTTTTGATTTTTAATACATTATATAATATAGTTAGATGATTTTGACCATTAAATTTCATATGGACATTACCTCATCCATATCATTATATATATAATTAATTAAGCACTTCATATATGTATGGTTTTTTTTTTGGTGAGTTATATATATGTATGGTTATATGAAGAGCACTATCCATCTTTTATTTTTATATCTATTTGTCGTTAGTATGCACGGCTTCATAAGATTAGATAAATATGTGATTTTCATATAGTCATACATACACACACATAAAAGATTTACTTAATTAATTTGGATAAAAAACTAGTTAAATTAATTATTTATAAAAAATATATATGTTAGTTTTTCTTAAATTTCTTCTAATATTATAAATTAATTCTCTTTTTTTTTATTAGAATCCATTACTCAAGTTTAAAACTCGGAGCATAATTTCAACATTTCAAATTAGGCTTAACTCATACTAATATAATAAATTTTAAAAAAAAAATTTAGGCAGGCTGGCGGGCTCGGGCTGGCAAAATGCCAGCCCGCCAAGGTGCGGGCTACTTCAGCCCGCACCGCATTTGGCCCGCACCGCAGCGGGCTGGCCCGTATCCGCACCGCCAGCCCGCTTTCCCAGGTCTACCCCTCAACATGATGATGAAAACAGTTTTAACAAAAATGATTAAAATCACTACTCCTTCCGACTCAAAATATAAGCTAAATTTTTTAAAAGGATTAATTTTTTATAAGATAATATTCACTTTTATCCAAACATTTAATGAGTTTTTTCTAATTTTACCTTTATATATTTTCTTTCCTCTTTAATTTATTTATTACATCTTTTACTTATTTTCTTCACTAATAAAAGTATATTAGAAAAAATAAATATATGCCTTTTATATTTATTGTTTTAAATTGATTTTAATTAATTTCTTAATAAATATAATGGATAAATTTTGGTTTATATTTTAAACCGGAGGAGTACGTGATAGTCAAAAACAAAAGTAAAAGACATGTTCTCCCTCTTCTAGCAAAGGATAACCACTTCGGCAACTACCAGCAAGCACCATGAAACGATCAAACACGTTTTTTATTAATTACCGACACATGAGACAGAGACAATGATGAAGCACAATCGATGTTCACACGGTTCCAGGTTTTCTGAATCACACACAAGACCGCAGCCTAACACTCTAATCCATATGTATTTTTCAACCATATAGAATTAATAGCTGCATATGCTTGCCTAACATTAATTAACGGCGATATCGCTTCGTTCCTCGATCCTCACAGGGAACCCATTTTTCATCAGCGACGTTAAATGCGCAATGTATACCGGCTCCACCCCTTCCGCCGCGGCCGGCACCACCCTGAACCTCCTCAGAACTCCGCCCACTATTCTCTTCATCTGTAAGAACGCCATCTCTTTACCCAGACACACTCGGGGCCCCGCCTGGAATACTGGGTACGTAAACGGATCCGTCGACACAAATTTCCACTTCGTGCCTTCCGCATCCGGCCCCTCCACCACCTTCAGCCACCTCTCCGGTCGGAATTCCGCCCAGTCAGAGCCCCAGAGCTTTTCGGACCTTCCCATTGCATACACGTGATACGCCACTCTCGTCCCTTTCTTCACAAATGTCCCGTCCGGCAACACGTCGTCTATCGCCGCTTCTTTTGTGTCCACGGGCACCGGCGGGTACAGCCTCATGCTCTCACACAGCGCGGCGTGCGTGTAAACCATGTCTTTCACTTCGTCGTAGACGTGGGCGTCTGATTTTTGTTTGATCTCCTTTATAATCTCCTTCTCCACGTTTGGGTGCTTCCGCAGCAGCCAGAAAAACCACGTCAGGGCCGCCGACGTTGTGTCCCGACCCGCTAATATGAAGCTTATCACTATGTCCGTTACGAAATCTTCGTCTGAGATGCCGGAATTCAAGAACCGCGACAGCAGGTCCACTGAATCCAGCGAGGCCTTCTCTCGAAGTTCTTGCTTCTTCTCTCTGACGATTCTTGTGGCCAAGTCGCGCACTTCCGAGATAGCGATTCGGAGTCGCTTCTCTGACCCAATGTCGAGGAGCTTCTTGATCTTCCAGACTAGAGGAATCGCAGCGTTGAACCTTTCGCTGCTGAGCTTAGTACCCTCTTCGAAAGCCCTGGCGAACTTGGTTTCTGGAAGAGAGGGCAGCAAGTACGCAGGGTCGAAGCCGAACGCTATCCTGCAAATGTTGTCGAATGTAAATCGTTGGAGGATATCTTGCAAATCAAGAACAACGGGGTCGCCGGCTGCGGCAGAAGAGAGAATGGGGATGAGGCGGTCAGAGAGCTCGGCGTCGACGACGGTCTCGACGAATTTACGCAGAGATCTGGTGTTGAACTCGTGACTGGAGAGCTGTCTCTGGAACTTCCAGTTGTCACCATTGGCGTTGAAGATACCATTCCCAAGGAAATCGCCGAGCGCTCGGTGGAGATTATGGCCTTTGTGGTAGATGGGGAAGTGGGTCTTGAGAATATGTTGGACGACGGCGGGATTGGCGGTGAAAACCTGGCGGGAGCCAAAAGAGCGGTGGAGGGTGAAGGTGGAGGAGGGAGTGTGGCGGAGGATGTCGGCGATCCAGAGGACACGGCGGTGTTTGTTGGAGGCGACGGAGAAAACGGAGCCAATGAGAGGATAAGCTTTAGGGATGACGGCGGAGGAGGGAGGGTGGGTGGTGGTGTGGGCTCTGCGGGAGGATAAGAACAAGAGAAGAAGAGTGAGTCCCAAGAGAAACGAGGAGACGACAAGTCCAAAATCAAGTTCCATGCTGCCTCGAACAAATGGTATGAGTAATGTAATATAACCACTGCATTCAGTGCATTGTATCTACATGTGAGTTCGTTTCTCTATATATATACTGAAACTTGGCTCTCCACGGGGCTGCTTTGAACCAAAAAATCTGCTCCAAGCCAAAATGTTTCCCTACACACACAGTAGTTTTACTTTTGTCATGGCGCCACCCACGTCCAGTTATTTTCTCACTCAAGGCCATTCGACTAACAAGTGCCACTAAACGTCATTTTCCCAACACGTGCTCAAAAAATCGAGGTTGAATATAAATAGATTATGCAAGCCAATTTTAATTTTAATTCCCACAATAGTTACCGTGTTAATAAAATTTTTAGTCCATCAAGTTTATTTTTATTTTAGTCTTGGTCCCACAAGTTTCTTTCTATTTAAAAACATTAGTTCTTATAATTTAATAGAAACCATTTGGCTTCTTCAATGATCAAAATCTATAGTTTAAAATTATATACGCAAATTAATAATACGACTAATTATTTGACCAAAACAATAAAGACTACTAATTAGCTCGTGTTTTAATATTCTATATATGAGTGTCTCTCTCTTTTATTATTGAAGGATAAAACTATCAAGTGATCGTTGTTTAGTTTGACAGCATATAGTCAAAACTCCAAAGGACTGTTGTTTGATGACAGAGGGAGTGTGTGTGTGTGTATTGATTGTTCCAATTTGATGGGGAAAAAATTAGAATTTCGTACACCATCTGCGATGTAGTAAAGGATTAGGAACTGGGGAGAAGCAAAGGTTGGGGTAACAGGGTAAGACAGTGGGCGCGCACACAGACACGGATACTGTACTTAGTGCAAATTGAAGATATAAATCATGTAACTAAATTATACTGATGTGTAGATATGAAAAGTATAGTACTGCTACTAGTATATGCTAAGGAAACGGAGATGATGTGATATTGACGGTGGGGGCGGGGGGATGGGAGCCTCCTACATACACGTGAAGCATAAGAAAAACATGAGAGATAGTAGAAGAGCAGCGCCGCAATTTCTGTAGTCTCCGCCCTGCCTGGTGCCGTGCCAGCCCCTCCACTGCCCCACTCTCTTGCTTTTTAATATATACATATATATATATATATTATTGTGCAATCACGCAGTATGATTTATATATACTCTTCTTATCTTAAATGTAATACCTATTTTGTAAAATAAAATGCAAGACTCATTTTATAGTGTAATTTTATATTATAAAATGGACTTTCATTTTGAACGAGAAGCGTGTATATATATTAGTATCAGATTTAATTCCCTTGTCTAATTGCTTCCTTCAAATATATTTTAGCTACTTGGCTTGTGTTTATGCAGCACACATAGCTGATAATGATAACTTATACAAGCCGCAGCTCCGAACTCCTATAGTCCTATCCATCCCTTTTGGCTCATGCAATCATCACCTTTTTAAAAACGGCGATGTCGTCCGCCGAAATCTCAATGCACAGAGCTCCGTCACGTGGCTGCAGGCCAGCGTCGACGACATGCTCAAGTTTTCAGCTTCAACCCGCACTACCGCTCGTCACAAAAGTATTCATTTTCAAATACTTTTCTAATTTCTTAGTATAAAAATTAGTTGATTAATTTATATAGATTAAGAAAATTAATTAAATTAGTTATTTATAGTAAATATGTACTGTCTTTTTTAAAATATCCGTGTTAATTAAGTGTATTGGTGAGAACTACTATTATCATAAGGATTATCTTAAAAATAAATAAATAAATATGAAGAATAAAGTGAATTGAGATTTTATATTTAGAACTAAAATAAAAATTAAATGAACTCTTATATTAAGCGTATTATTGCATAATATGTGCAGCGTGTATAGATTTTTGTCTATCTACTATTCATTTTATTTATAGTAAAATCATATTGGACGCAATGTTTATTGGATATCCGTATGATACAAGTAATATGTGTCGGGAGTAAACAATGCGGCTTATTCTCTGTCCTAGACAGTTTCCTTTATTATAGTTCTTGTTTTGCTGGTCAGACTTGAAAACGATCCTTCCTGCCTTTTGTCAGTGAACGTTTTGCGCTGGACAGTAACGGCTAACCGCTTCCTCATCTCTCGCCATGTATCACTTTCATGTGCTGTTCAAGTTCAAATCTCATCTTAATTATTGATGTAAAATTACAAGTTTGTTGGCCAACAATGCATATAATAATGACATTAATTAAACATATGGAAAAAATCGAGCACAGAGATATGGACAGAACGTGAAGGAACAGGGGCTTAATTTCTTCGCAGCCATACACCGATCCATCGAAGCCCGTCAAATCATCGGGTAAAGTTGGACGGCAGCGTGTGCTTTCCGGTTTCAGACGATTGCGCCACGCCACCCCCTTCGGCTCCGACTACAATGAACAGTCTCGTTATTGGCCGCACCCCCAAAATGATTGAGGTTTTTTGCTGCTTCTGATTTTTGAACTCTTCATCTAAAAATGATCACATTTTTCAATCATTATGTTTAAAAAGATGGTCGTACACATTCTTCATCTTCATGGCACACACTGCACTTGATGCACAGATATATAATTCATCATGTTTCGATGTCTAAGCGTTTATTTTGTGAATATTTTTTGTGGATGAGATATAGTAGCTTGATTAGATGGGACAGATTCTTGTATAAAATATTGACTGGCAAATAAAACGTTAGTATGATGCGTGGCCATTGAGAATTATGAATGGTTCAAGAGAATCTACCGACGGCGTTTAATTGTGGCGTGCATGGGTGTGGTAGCAAAACGACAAGCAAGCTCAAAGACTTTAAGCTCCCAGTCACACAACCTTATCCGACCACGCGGGAGATTCTGTATGATTTAGTCCTCTTTGTATCTTGCCAGAGATTAACCTCTTAGTCGGTGTGTTAAGCCATCACAACATACTATCACTCACAAATAATGAAAAACCAAAGTCCAATAGGATCTCCGCCTCCACTCTCATTTCGGCGATGGCTCTAGTTACCTTTGACATCTCATATAAATTAGCCACACAGATCTCATTTGAATGGTTTCAATTTGGGGTTTTTTTTATTTCTGAGTTGATATTTTTGGAGAAAAAGGAAACGAATTTAAATAATGAGAAAAAAAAGCACAAAATATGGATGGACATCCAAATTTGAGATAAGCATCCCATGGTAGGCAAACGGATGAGAGGCGCATATTAAACCACGTGGAAGACCTGGATACATAAACGGAGGTGTTTTGAAAATGAGAGAAAATTGACTTTGGGGATTTACTTGTGACATGCTCCCGTAGAATGTGTCAAGTAAGTGTCGGTTTATATCATCATTATTCAATAAAGGCACAAAAGATTTAACATCGGTTGAGGTCACTGTGGGGCCAGCTTTGATCCGATGTATGGAGGGTCCAACGTTAATTACTGAGGACCATTACCCAAAAAAAATTTAAAATAAAATAAGAAAACTAAAGATAGAGTGCAAAGTGCATTCAT